TGGGCGTGGGCTGTCCGGGGCCCGCGGGCTCCTGGCCGGGGCTCGTGCTCTCCGCGGGGCCGTCTCCCGACGGCAGATCGACGGGCTCGTTCCACAGGGTGGGGTCGGGCGCCTGCGGACCCTCAGCTGGAAGACCAAGCAGGGGAGACGGGTCCGGGCTGTCACCGGGCCACGCGCATGCGGGGGCCACCGCGGAAGACAGCGGGGACCTGGGTGACGCCTAGCGGAGCTGCACTAGGACCTTGTCCTTAGGAGAATCTCGGTCCACGAGGCTGGCTGGTGGCCACCTCGAGGTCACTCGCCATTTGGGGCCTGGGATGGGGCAAGAGGCGGCAGAATGGTGGTGATTGTGAAGTCTAGATCTGCTGGAGTTCAGGGCGTGTGTGTGTGTGTGGTGGGGGGGGTGGGAGGGTGGGGGGGGGTGCTGGTCCTGGGACTTGAACTCCAGGCCTGGCGCAGTCCCTGCTCAAGGCTAGTGCTCTACCACTTGAACCGTGGCTCCGCCTATGGCGTAGGTAATTGGAGTTAGAGTCTCTCACAGACTTTTTCCTGCCGGGGCTGGCTTTGAACCACGGTGTTCAGGCCTCAGCCTCCTGAGAACAGCTGGGATGGCCGCCGCACTGAGAAGTCAGGCTATTTTTGTTGTTAACTTTTCTTCTATTTCCTTAAAATCTTTTTACTACAAAATGTTACCACACCCCTGGCTCCCCAGACCCAAGCCTGGACAGGGTCCTCCGAGGCTCAGATTGTAGGGAGGAACCTCCGTCCTGTTCCCAGAGCTTGCCCAAACCAGAGCCCCATTTCAGAGGAAAAACCCCTAGTGAGAAAGCCGCCGCCACAGCAGCCGGGGAAGCCCCGGTGGCTCTCACCGCCTCGCCTTGTGGCGTCTTCCTTGTTTCAGGCCCTGGCTGAACGGCAGCACTGCTCTCTGGGACCCGTTGGGCTGGCCCCACCTGGAGAGGAGGGGGGGCGTGACCCCCTTGGAGGTCTACAACCTCCAGCCCCCATGGGAGAACCCAGCGCCAGACTAGTGTGAGGTTCCCAGAACCAGGCAGTGCAGAGGCCTGCGTGCCCATCCTTGGCAGGCTTGAGAGTTTGCAGATTCCCTGTCCCCCAAAATGACACGCCCCCAGCCCCTGCCTGCTGCCCCTGCACCCAAGACAGACGGCAGGCAGGCCCCTTCCTGTCCCTTCTTCCGGCCAGAGCTCACCTCCAGTGCCGGGGGTTTGTCCAGGGAGGTGCCCTGAGCTGCTGGAAGCCAGGCCCAGCCAGCCTGGGCGGAGTCTGCAGCCACAGGCTGCCCCCTCCGCCCCCTCCCCCCCCCCCCCCCCCCCCCCCCCTCAAGCCACCCGTGGAGAAGCTACAGCCGGAACCAGGCCCAGCATGCCGCGTTCTCCAAACTTCTCCAAAAGAAGAAGGACCAAGTTCAACTGCAGCCTGGCCTCCCTCCCCCTTCCCCGGGGAGGCCAGGGACAGAAGTGGCAGCAGAAATGGCAGGCTAAGGACTTGGGGGGGGGCAGCAGACAACCCCTGTGGCCACGAGGAGACCATATCCCGTGGCCAGCGTCGTGGGACGTCACACTGGCTGAGGCAAGCAGGGCAGGGGAGGGCGTGGTGGCACTGCCACAGGCCCGGCCCCCCCACTGTCCCCCAACACCCCCTCCGCCTGCACCAGTTGCCTTGCCATTCGGTCAATAAGTTTGTTCAGCGCCCAGTCTGACCACAGGGTCCTGAGGCAGGCGCCATGCGCACAGACAGCCTTTGTGTGGCATGAAGAGCCTTTTCATCCCCAACCTGGCCGCCCGCCCGCCCAACCTGGCCTGCTCCCCACCTCAGCGCCCGGCCACCGGCCCGGCCTGGGCCTCAGCCTCCAGCCTGCCTGCGTCCCCCTCGCCTGCTGCAGGACCCCAGCCCAGGCAAGAGGTAGGGGCTGGCAGGCCTGTCCACAGCTGCTCAGAGCTTCTACCCCACCACTGGTTCTGAGAACCTTCCGGAATGGCCAGAACAGCAGCCTGAACCCCGCTGAGATCTAGATGGGGCTGGCTGGCCCTGGACCCCTGCCCCGAGCCTGCCTGCTGGTGGTGGGGAAAGGAGAGGGCTTGGCTGTCCCCAAATACTCGTGGGCAAAGCCCACCCACCCATGTTGTGTCTCTGCAGGCTGACCGGGGCTCTGGGTGGGAAGAGACGGCAGGAACCCAGACATAGACCATCAGGAGCGGTGGTCACAGGGCTGGCTGGAGGGGGGCGCACACGGGCGGGGCCTGCAGGGATTTCAACCCCAAGACCCAGGATGACAGATGCAAAGGCCCTGGGCACTGCCATCTCCAGGAAGCTGGGCCTCTCCTGACCATGAGACCCCGCCGTGCCCTGTGGAGGGGCGGGGGCCATGCGTGCACACCCGTGCTCAGTGTGACCCATGTCTGATCATCCCGAGGCCTCGTGGCTCCCAGGTCAGAGGCCAGTGGCCGTGCTGTGTCCCGCAGAGGAGGCGGCTGGAGAGGCTGGGGGCGCCCGCGGGGCTGCAGCCTCCACCGCCACCCACGACCCCTCGGTGCCGCTGTTCTCCCCCGTCCACTCGCCCACCACCCCTCAGATCCAGAGACACCCCAGAGTCCAGGCTGCACAGCCCCAGATCTAGGGACATG